CGATTTCCACGGACCATTGCTGTAGACTCTCATTAGCACGCTGAGTACGCTCTTTTAATTGCGCTCTGTACACGTGCTCGAGGTGGCTGTCTCCAAAACGTGCCTCAAGTGCGTCGAGGAGGGCACTAAAGCTGAGATCTCCACTTGCGCCGATAGCTTCCAGCACTGAGAGCGCTTGATCACGGAGGGCCAGGGTGAGGGCTGACTGTGCTTCCTTCTGAGTCCAACCATAAGCCTCCATAAGTGTCTCAAACTGTAGCTTGAACGCGGTCCAGGATGTTGTTCCGTCATAATGGGGAATCTTGACCCCTTTCGTTGCGTTTGAGGCCGCATTTGGGGCGTCAAAAACGGCTGCAAGACGGCTTCGGCTCTTCAAAGGGCTTGGGCTTGTCACTTCCTGCTTGATTTTGGAGATCTCTTCTTCCACTCTCTCCTCTATCGCCTTGACGCGATGTTCCAACTTGCCTAACCCTTCCTCCACTTCTTGTACCCGTTCGACAGCCTTTTGCAGTCCCTTCGTGAAATCCTTATGCATCTCTTTTAAGCGACGCGCTTGTTCCTCTTGGCGGCGAGCTTGATCCTCTTTCAGCTCCCGTAGCTGCTCCGCCTGACAGCGTGCATGCTCCTCTTGGCGACGAGCTTGCTCCTCTTGGCGACGAGCTTGCTCCTCTTGGCAACGAGCTTGCTCCTCTTGGCGACGAGCTTGCTCCTCTTGGCGACGAGCTTGATCTTCTTTCAGCTCCCGTAGCTGTTCTTCTTGGCGGCGCGCTTGCTCTACCATCATTTGCTGCAGCTGTAGCAGTAGATCCACCTGCACAGGCTTGGCTTCTGCATCGCTGGTTTGAGCTGAAGCACTCTCTTCCCTCACACGCTGCGCTTCTGACATTGAACGGGTACACACTCCTCTTACGTCCTGCGGCACTAGCGGCATTTTTCTCCAATCCCACTTCTGACACCAAATGTTACGTGCCTGACGTCACGTTCCTGACTATGCGGGCTTGGGTTACGGGATTGGATGAAATGAAACACTAATACCGGTTTTCAGACTTTCTATTGCACTTAAGTTACAGCGTCCACGGAGTTAAGTTATCGGCGTTCTTCTTCAGCAGAGTCCGGCCGACTGACACAACTCTGCCGTTCACGCTGACTTAACTCACTTAACTGACTGCACTTCACTATTTCACTGCACTTCACTATTTCACTCACTTTTCTTCTTTTTCACTTCTTCCTTTTCTTCCGAATCACTTTAGACTTAGAAGTCAACTGCCAGCGGTGAGCCGCAGTTCTGCTTATATACCCCCGGTCAGGTTCTGGAACATTCAATTTCGTTATTCTTTTTGATCGTCATGCCTCCAGAACCTTCCAATAATTTCGCTATTCATTTTTATTTATTCTCCTTCTCACTCTTTAATTTTTCATCTCTTTCACACAAATAATTCCAGAAAGTTCGACAAAACTTCCATCAACTAAAAAACTTCATGTTTACGGCGGGACTCGAACTCGGGGTCTCTGTGGTGTAATCCACACGCCTTACCAATTACACCAACTCGTATTGACAATTCACGACGAAATTTACAATCTCTAGGCAACGTTTGACAACCATCCATTGACGTCATGATGTCAAAGAGTTTTCTGTCACAATATGACTGGGGCTACCTCAATTCGTCAAGCGAAAAATTGTCAAGCCAAATCAGTCTTTTTAGTTTTTAGTTTATAATAAATTACCAAATAGTTTACAAGATTTATCTTTGACATTATTTAAGAAAATGCTTTTTAAACTTTTGCTATCAAATAATTATTGTAATAAGGACTATTTAGAAGATAAGACGATAGGATCTTGATAGTGTAATTTTAATAATTAATTTGCACGCCATACACGGCAGGATACGCCGAAAAAAACTAAACTGTAACACCTTTTGTACCGTCTTTTAGCAAATAAACATTTTTGTTTTGATTTTGATTTGATTCAAAGAAGTGAAATCAAAATGGCCACGCTTTTAGACAAAGGTAACAAAACTGCAGAATGACCGAAAAATAAGTCTTGTTATTCATACTAGCTATCTGGAAACCGAAAAACAACTTAAATTCGTTTACATTATTCAAAACAGTAATTTTGTTATTACCTGACAACATTCCCATTAAATGGATTTTCTTCCATTTCAGTTTTACCGCTAAGTGTCAAAACAGATCTGGAAATAACTTGGAATTGAGCATAAATAGAATTACAAATTCAACTTTTTTTGTTTCATTGTACACTATTGAGGTGTTTACGGACACTTGATAAGGTCAGAACTATTTTCTTTAAAAGAAAATTACTTTCAAAGGTCACGAAATAATAAATGGATTTATTCTATTTAGTTTTTTAAAAACCACAACCGAACATGGAATTCGGTTATTTGTTTAGAGTAAAAGGGCAATTTTTAACAAAGATGTTAGGGGAAACATTTATGAATCTAGCTGTTCAAATAAAGAAAATAGGTGCACATTAATTTAATGCGCGGTTGACCAGCTGTTGAACCACGTTCGATTCCGCGAACAATTCCTTTTGTAATCCACAAATAAGTTGTAGTTGTTCAGAGTCTAAGCGTTATATGCTCATGGAATTGTATCTGTAAACTTACCCATTTTTTTTTATTGTCAGGGGAAAATCATCCAATGACTTCTCCCGCCCAGGGTAAGGCGAGAGAGAGTGTCAGACTCACTGACTAAAAACCTCCCCGTTCCTTCTCCTGCTCTGGGCCGAGGTCGCGGTGCCTCATTGCGCTTACCCCGCAGCCCCGGCTAAATCTGTAAACTTACCCATACGTACTGAAGTTTACGCATTTTTCATAATTCATTTATTTTTTTGTAAGTCTTTATTTCCTACTTTAATTATGTTATTTATTATTGATTTAGAATTTAGACGATCTGATATTTCCAGCCAGCTATGTATAAGTATATAGTTTAAATATATTTTTCTACTTCCATTTTTAAATTTTCAAGATTATGTACCTATTGGTCTTCGGCAGATAGTTCGTGTCTTACAATTGATATCTCCTTTGTAGTTGATCCGGTAACATTGTTGTTTCCGATAGTGTCACAAATTCCTAGAATTGCGCTGAGGTTCCCCCTGACTCTATTATTAAAGGTTACTAGGTGACCGGGTTATATTTTATATCCTAGGCTATATGTTGGGTGTTACTCATATATTAAATAGTGACAATATTCATGTCCTCCTCAACAAGACTTCAAACGGTATAAAAATGATTCGCACTAAAATGTGCTTAGGTAAATATCATTGTATATTAAAAAACACTATTTTAACATCTTCCTATTAACAATATTTTTCAATTATTTTCCCAACTTTTGGGTTTCATATAGGGACAGGTTTGAAGTTGGAATTGATTTCTTATCCGTTTAAATTATTGATCTAGTTTTAGTTATTCACAACGGACCAGAAATTCTCGCACATGCGTTAGCCAATCAAATCTAACCCTTATTGTGCTACGCTTATTGTTTAAAACTGTTGAATATTTAATGGGGTGAAAACATAAAGTTCTCTTCGGAAAAGTTGCAAAATCCTGTCGCCGAGTTCAAGCAGGAATTGGGTCACGCGGCGAAAACACCTTCCCTGCACATTTCACTCAAAGTATTTCAAAGCAGAGCTTTATCCGATGGAGTGGAGGATTCTAGAAGCTGACTAAACTGTAGTTTAGCTTTTACTGTACTTATAGTTCTGCAATTCTATCTAAACGGAGTTAAGGTTATGTTTGTTATTTTTTAAAGGCTTCTTTGTATTGTCCTCGCGTCTTTTAGTACGGACAGTTAATGGCTTAATATCAGTAATAGTTCCAGAACTCGTATCTGTAAGGATCTGAGAATTTATTGCAGAATGAGGTACTTGATAAGTTTAAAAATAAAATATTTGTACTAATAATTAAGTGCTAACAAATAATAAAGCATAATGACACTATCGTTAGTTGATTTTATAATATATTTGATGTTCGTAAATTCGCATGAAAATGTATGATATTTGAATAAAAATGCGAATATTTGAGGCAAAAATAAATGACGTCATAACACACAATCCTATACAAAATTCATAGAAGTTACGATTATGAAAGTACGAAAAAAGTATTTTAATTTAAGTTCCAAATTTCAATGTGCTAAAATTACAAAAACCTCTGCCCGACCAAGATTTAATCTATACACCACATGAACATTAATTGTACTATTACGCAATTTTTAATAAAGTCAACAAAAGGTACCAAATTCTTTGAAGTCAAATCTTAACTTCCAGACGATAAAACAAATAAGTATTAGTGTTCAGCCTATCGCTTTTAGTTTAAACTACATTATCATTGAAACAAAGTTACTAGAACTAATTGGATTGTTCAGAAACACTCGTGTGGTAACTTTACATTCTAATTATTATTGTTCTCTTGTATTTCAAAGTGAAACTTCGATAGACGAATTCAAAGCGCGTTTATTAATTCTGTTTGGAGATATTCAATATAGTACTGTTTGTGAAATACTTTACTGATCTAATAGGTACCTATAACGTACAAGAATTTTATTTAAAATTTCTAACTATTCTAATCTCTCTGTGTATTTATTTGGAATGTTATCGTTTAGGTTTAAAACTAAATTTTTTTTAACCTACTTCTGATCGCGTATCTTTGACGAAATAGAAACGATTATTTAATATTATAAACGCGAAAGTAACTCTGTCTGCCTGTCTTTTCTTCACGCCTAAACTACTGAACCGATTTCTGTGATATTTGGTACTTACAGACATAGTTTGGAAGTCCAGAAAGGACATAGAAATTTTTATTTAAAATCTGCAGTAAGTCACTATTCCACTCGAATGAAGTCGTGGGCAAAAGCTAGTATTACATACCTATAGTAAAACATGCATACCTACATTATTCCGAAAAAACACCTCTTCTTACACATTTGCGTTTTCAATACAATGGTTTAGAAAAATATACTTAAGTACTGTGGTTTGATGCTCAACTTACCTTTAGTACTCTAATGACGTCTTGAGGAAACTGCATCAGCGCTGTGCTGGTGACCCTTCTGTAGATCCTGTCCACAAAAATCCCTGCCCTGATGGCGTGAGCCACGGACCGGAATTTAGGTTTCTCGTCAGACTTTCGCTTCGCCGTAGCCAGTTGTCGCGTGAAGGTGGACGCCAGCCACTCTCGGACCTCAGGCGGTACAGCATCAGGTTGGACTTCTGACAGCTCGTCATCTTCGTCAGCCAGCCTCCTGTTCACAGCACAACGCTATATTAATACATTGGACATTTTGTTTAAAACAATCTGCTCAAGCTTCACGTCGAACATAATATCATGTTAGCACAGTAATTGGAATACTTTGTCGTCATTGATCTCTTCATCAGCTCGATTTACCATTGAAAGCTGCGAAGCAGTTCGGGCACCGCTTATAGACAATGCTGCAATCAACCAAGACGTGCCATATCGCTGTTTGCCGGATCTCCTTCAGACGGTTTTGTTAAAATTCATTCCAAAAATCATACTAATCAATATTATCTATGTTAACATCTAAAACTTTGGATATTTAAAAACAAATTATTATTACCTTCTAATCCTATTGTGTATTTTAATGAACTTACATTTTTATATTAAAAATTCTAAGTACCTATGTCTAATTGAGCTTCTGTATTCTAAACAACATTAGCTATAATGCTGTACATTGTTAGTCTATATAATCAATCAATATAATATAATATAATGAAATCTCTAGCCGCTACAACTAATCATATATCACTATCTTCTTCGAATGAGTGTCGAATTTCCTTCAATATGCACATTTTAACTACTTAAGTAAAGAAAGGTGATAGGTTTTTTAAATCTTTGAACAGTACAAAATTTGCATGAGAAATGCGGTGTAGGTATACAAAATCCCACACAAGGTCCCGAGTCATTTTAATGAACACAAAACATGTACAACACAGGTCTGTCCTTTGCGTGGGGCTTTGTCGAACAATATGTCAGACTTTTCATCCAAAACTCTCGTGAGAATCTTCTGTTGAAGACAAAAAAAATGTTGAAAAATAAAAAGATCCTGGAATTGAGAACGGTATTTTTGCAAGTAAGTAGATATTGATTGTAGATATCGAGGTGTAGAAACGTAACTTGCCACTAAAACCAGGTGTGATGAAGTAGACAGTTCGCAGAATTCAGAGCATGCTAATTTGGGTTGACTAGCTAAAGGTTTTGGACACCTATGCATGCAGCGTGCTCAAGAATTCGGTTAGGCTCTTACATTGCTTTCCATTGACTTTTTGTTGGAAAATTCATATTAACTATGAGACATTGCTTTTTTGACATTTTCGTTTTCCTCGTATTACACAACTTGTCTTCGACCGAACCAACAGCAGTGAATTGGTCACGAAAAGGTAGCTTATGCGGAAACCTCTTATTATATTAGTTCGAGTCTTTAACTTATCAACGACAGAATAATCATCGAATAACTTTTTACCTTTTTGTAAATAAGGACGATAATCGCGATTAATTTTAGAACATAAAATTTATTAATATATTTAAAGCGCTTGTTAGCCGACTTCGAGTTATGTTTCACAAGCTTTGAAACAATGGAAAGCAATACAGTACATAAAACAGCCACACGACAAAACAAGCGAATCTCAGGGGATGCTCAAGGTTAATTCGGGGTCGTATTGTCATTACAAGTTGAATGAAACCAGAATAAAGGCAATGAGAGTGCTCAAATATCATAATGGAAATGTGTTCAAATATTGGTGGGTAGTTCTGGTTTGATTCAAGCTTTGTGAGTGGCATAAAAAGTGATAACATCGACACACCTAAACACCAGGGTTGGGGCCGACTGCTGACGCGCCACTGCCGGTCTAAAATAAAACACGCAGTCATTGCGACAGAATCAGGGATCACACAAGGAAAGGAATCATCACGAACGGCTTTTGCTTGTGGGAGAACCGAATGTTTATCATTTTCATACTTTAAAAATACTTTTACACTGAAATTCTTCAGTATCGACAAGTTGTAAGAAAACGTTTCTTTCAATTCATAGTGAAAATGATAAACAATCGATTTATATATGAATTTCGAAAAACAAAGACACCTGCAAAGTTTACAAAACACACATATTTTAAAAATAATAAAATAGGTACAATTTCAGAAAGTCAATAAAAAAGCTATTCGGAAATATACCTAGAATAAAGAATCGTAAATGTTATAGATATCTTTAAGCAGTGGTAGCAGCTATAAATATAAATAAAATAACATAAGCACCTATAGACACTAGAATAAGGGTTTCATTCAGAATGTAGGTTCGAAACCACGGACAGGAACGGTCAAAGATAAAAATAAAAAATTAAAGTACAACGTGTAAGCCTTATGGAATGTCGATACACAGGGGTCACCCAGACACAAGAATGAAAAGTGAACATGCCTAAGGATAGGACAAACACAGACGGAGCTGAAGACTGGGACAAAGACGAGTCACACAGGGTCCAAACGGCACACAGGACTAAGTTCCAGAACTAATCTAAACATAATCTAGACGCAGATAAATGCAATTCTACTTAGAACAAGCCACGCTTTACTTAAAATTTATGAGTGAAACCAGAATACCAAAGAAAGATGTAAGAATCACGTAGCTTGTTCAACCAAAAAAAAATACAAAGGAACAGGTAACCTATAAACCTAAAATAGAAATTACCAGTCTGGATGTAAATCCAAACTGATAAAACAGCAAATGATATTGAAAATACTAAACTAACAGGAGGACAGGTAACTGAGAGAGTATTGTAAACTGAAGCTTAAACAGAACAGAAAGACCTAATCGCACAGATTGGACAGAAGGGAGGCGCGACTACTTGGCCATTGTCGGCGATGTTGTAACGGTATTAACTTTGCTTCGTTTGGTTTCTCTACTGAGCACCTCGCCCAGCAGGGGGTGCGCAGGCGTCGCATGTGGAGCGTAGTCTGCTGCGCGCGCGGCTGCTCTGCCACTCTCCTATCCCTGCGTTAGACATTATCACTGGCGGCGCGACGGCACATCCGCTCACACCCAAAATAAAATCGCTAGAATTGTTAGCTTAGTAGACAATCGTCACGGACGAGGTTTTTATGAAGAACAAATAAATAAGAATCATCTTCAAATGCTTGGTCTTAAAGAAAATGAAGCAGTTCATGTACTTGTCAGAGCATTTTCGTTTCAAATGAATGAAAAATATAAGAAATACATTACGTCGTTAATAACATTTTCTTGGTTTCTTGTTAATTTTATTTGAATCGAAGATTTGTAAGGTTTCATTTCAAGCGTGAACGCTAAAGACGTTGAAGCCTTTAAAGTTAAATTCAATAGGTACATCGTTTAAAAATCAAACCTAATAAATTTCTTTCTTCAAAAAGTCAAATTTTGAACATTACAGCAACAGTTAACAGTTCTTCGGGTAGGTATTTTTTGTTATGAAAAGTCAATTTGAATTTAAAACAGGATAGATATGCAAAACGTAACATTCACATGCAAATTGTCTCACTGTGCTTCCATATATCATTAAGTGGTACGAAATTGTTAGTCTGTGAAAGTAATCACCCGTTCTGAGGGAAATCTTTGCGCTTCAAGAATTCTAATCTTTTCTCGTAAAAGGTTGGAAATATTTCTCGCAATTTGCTATGTGGTCATAATTTATGATCACCATAATGTTAGAAATGATGAGTATGAGGTGGTAATCTATTAGGTGGTTTCTTCATGCGTGAAACAACTACAGCGTTGTGTTTCACCGTATGAGTGAGGTTACCAGAACCCCAATCCTTCCCCTCTTGCAATCCCTGCCCATTTCCAAAATCTCCAAATCTCTAATCCCCAAAAGGTCGGCAACGCACTCGACGGAGGAATTGCCTCCGTCGTCCGCAGGAATTCTATATATGACTACGCTACAGGTTTATTAGATGACTACAAGCTAACGATTTTTTTGTTTATCAATTGTTCTTGACAATATTTTGTTATTCCAATACAAAATTTTGGACTTTAATGCGAATGTAACTTCAGTCAGGTGACTGTCAAGCCGGGTTTGCGGCGACGGCCCCATCAGTCCCGGAGCAGGAGAAGCAACTTAATGGTTACTAAAAGTAAACAATTTACGCCCTAACCAGGAACTATTTCCCCCATAAAAACACTACGTGACTGTTCCAACAGTACTTTCACAATAGAGTTTGAAAGCTTATCGTTACCTGCAGTATCATGTTTCCCAAGTTGATTGACTGTAGCGCCTCATATCATGTTTGAATTCAATATGACTACGTTACAGGTTTCGGGTGAATGTAGGCTTAGATATTAGAATTCGTTATTGTTATGACTTCACACAATGTTTAGTTTTGTATTAGGTCCGCAAAGGTGCAGACGGCGCCCATAGACAATCGTAATATCAAAGGAGTTACTACAAGTGCACCTCTTGTGGCTTATTAGGGATTTAAGGATAGGAGGTTTAAGGATTTAGGATAGGGGGAACGCTAGTTTTATTTAAGGCCGTAGTATCACTCCAGCACTTCAATTCTATAAAATTTGTTTGATTTCAAATCTTGTTCGAGTGTGAAATGAGCGTCGAAGTGACGGGGAAATTACATTATAAGATGTCACTTTAACGTCATCTTACTTTATCTATTAAAATGTTGCAGTCAATTTAGTTCAACTCGCAAGTGTAGCGCTAGTGTACTAATACTCACAGCGGGTTCAGATTCGAAGTTTAGAATGAAGTGTTACAGAATCACACTGTAGTTGAGACGGCCCACTCTCCCACACGTAGTAAAACTCCTAGACTAAGTAAGAACTCAAAGAAATTACTTGTTACATAACTTCATTTATCAAGTAAATACAAAAATGTTATACTAGTTTGCAATAAGCTAAATATGTCCTAAAATGTAACGAGCAACAATTGAAATAAATGGTTTAGGAATCAACAAACCAATCAATGTAAATGACCATTGAAAAGTTTGCCTAGCCGTTCGAACGTAGGTTGGTAAATGAACAGTTCTATCTAGCCATTGTAGGAGATTGCAAACAAACCGTCCCGCGGGGTTTAACTAGTTTTATTTAGCTGTGAGTGTAACGGAGCTAATGACTTTTTTAGTTGTTTTTACAGAGTTTGCTTTTTTGTTTCTCGATCACATCGTTTGTTTAATTTCTTCTTGCTGATGACTAAGTTATTGCCAGTAAGATTTAAAATGTGTACTTTTTTATTCTAATCATTGTAAAATAAGATA